TGAGACTCCATCTCAAAAAAAAATAATAATAATTAACTTAATTTCTACATTTACACTTAATAGAATGAATATAATTTTATTATGGAGAAATCGCTATACAGAGAAAAACAAACGACAAAATCCATAGTCCTTATTACTCTGACACTACCAACCCTTTGTACTTTCATATACTTCTTTCTACATGCTCCCTAAACATGCATTTGCAAACATAGTTTGCTACCATCATCTCTATAAGCTTACATCCTGTTTGTGAAATGTACTGTGTCAAAGTTATTCTCCTTATTGCTTTGTGTCTTTTTGATTTTCCTTCTAATGACTGTAGAATACCCCCTGAGTAGCTATATAATCATTTACTTAACCATTTTCTCATTATTGGACTTTTAGGTTGTTTTCAAATTTTTCCTTTTATAATGACTCTGCAACGAATATCTTCCTGAACGTAGATATTGCTTGATTGTCTTGGATTATTTCCTTATGAGTTCCCCAAGAGGATTTACATAGAAAAAGACTATAGTAATTTAGAACCAAGTCTTAAAAAAGGAAAATTCTGCATGGATATGGATACACTTGTGGTTGATAAGTGTATTTCTTGTTTCATGGGAAGGAAACAAAGTGGTTATTTTAAACACACATACACACAAATAATGCTCTGAAACTACAAGCAGGGGAATGAGGACCACTGGGGAAGGTATGGGAGACTATTTTGTTAGAAAAACATCTGGCTTCTCTGAACCCTGTGGAACAAAGAAGTCGCAACAAAAATAACTAAATTATTTCAGATAACAAATTAGCACAACATTTTAGTCTTGTCCAGAGGGCGAGGAAGTCAAGGAGCCTTGTAATGGAAAGAGAGATAGGTAGGAAGGGGATTCTCTGGGTTCAAAGAAAGAGGAGGCTTGTCACCCTGCCAAAGAGCAGGAAACCAGGAGAAGTGGCTGGAGGGTTACAGATAGGCAGGCACTTTTGCATGGAGATGTCTTCATTTGTTTTCAAGTTGCTGCCTAGTCTGTACTATGATGTGACCACTTTGGTCCCAAGATTTTGGGGAAAGGTAAGTACTCACAAGAGCTTGTGTTAGTGCAACCTGGGGAATAAAGCCTAGAGACTGGTCCTTGGAAACAGGGTATGGAGAACAGAGCAGCTTCAGGGAGCAAGAGGCAGAGTTTACTGGACACAGAAGTTAGGGTGAGAGACAGCAGGAGGTTCATGAGAATTCTTATAGATACTGGGGAAATACTAAACCTACTCCATTACAGTATGTGGTAGGGGAGCTCAGATTTATATGGATATTGAATGAAATAAGTACTCAAAGGGTCAGTTTACCTGGATTCCCAGAGTGAAGACTCCAGAGTTAAAATTACGTAATTAGCTAAGGCCTAGATGTTCTGAACCTACAAATTAGATTCTTGGATCGAAAGTAAAATGTTAACCAGCTATCCTAGAAACCCTAGAATTGATATTTCAAAAGCAAAGTCAGTATGTTGTTTTTCTGGTGTAGGCCTGGATTTGAATTCTGTGTGGCCAATGTAGTTACTTTTGTTTGTTTGGTTTTTTTTTGAGACAGAGTCTTGCTCTGTTGCCCAGGCCGGAGTGCAGTGGCGCAATCTTGGCTCACAACGATCTCCGCCTACCGGGTCCAGGCATTTCTCCTGCCTCAGCCTCCTGAATAGCTGGGACTACAGGTGCACACCACCATGCCAGGCTAATTTTTGTAATTTTAGTAGAGATGGGGTTTCACCATGTTGGCCAAGATGGTCTCAATCTCTTGACCTCATGATTTGCCTGTGTCGACCTCCCAAAGTGCTGGGATTACAGGCGCAAGCCACCATGCTCAGCCTGTATTGCTTTTTAAAAATCTGTATTTTTGATTTTGTAAAAGGCATGCAGACCTTGCTTTCCTGAGTCATCTGCTATAACTAGGGGACGGAGTTAGCTGTCATGCCCATGGAAAGCCTGCTCCTCCTCTTGAGCAAGCTTGGTGAGTAGATGCCAAGTAAATGAGAAGTGTCCTCTACTCAGAGTCGACAGCCCAAGTTGAGGGCCGGGCGCGGTGGCTCAAGCCTGTAATCCCAGCACTTTGGGAGGCCGAGGCGGGTGGATCACGAGGTCAAGAGATCGAGACCACCCTGGTCAACACGGTGAAACCCCGTCTCTACTAAAAATACAAAAAATTAGCTGGGCATGGTGGTGCGTGCCTGTAATCCCAGCTACTCAGGAGGCTGAGGCAGGAGAATTGCCTGAAACCAGGAGGCGGAGGTTGCGGTGAGCCGAGATCGCGCCATTGCACTCCAGCCTGGGTAACAAGAGCGAAACTCCGTCTCAAAAAAAAAAAAAAAAAAAAAAAAAAGTTGAGGATTTGATGTGCAAAACGACTGTTGTGACTTCTCAATGATTTGTCTTTGCAAGCCAACAGAATGCTCTGTCCCAAAGGGAGCATCAGGAACAGTCCCCTGCCGTTCGTCAAGATCATAAATAGCAACTGAGAGCAATTCCTAAAGCAGTTGGCATGCATTCCACAGATGAGGAGGACTGGGCTAGGGAGGTGTGGTTTACAGTTCTGCTACGAGGCTTCTCAAGGAGGTGTACCGTTTTATAGTGGTCAGAAGGGCTTTGCAATGTGCTAAGCGAGATGCCGTGAAATGTGTATGTCAATCATTGTTAATATATGGCAGATACAGGAGGATGCCCACATCGTGGTCCCAATGGCAGAGACTGGGGAAAGGGAAAGAGAATATTTATGTAGCTTAGAATACAAACTGCAAAGGGTTTGTATTGTAAACAAAGGAAAAGAGAATATTTATGTGGCTTAGACCCACCATGGCACATCAGAGGGTAATGGTCACTTGAACAAAATTGAGGCTCTGCCAGAAGAAAGAATTGGGAGATCTGGGATTCCAGACTGTTTGGATGAGGTATATATCCATAAAATAATTATACTCGTGGCCAGGCGTGGTGGCTCATATCTGTAATCACAGCACTTTGGGAGGCTGAAGCAGGTGAGTCACAAGGTCAAGAGGTCAAGACCATCACCGCCAACATCGTGCAAACCCGTCTCTACTGAAAATACAAAAATTAGCTGGGCATGGTGGTGCACGCCTGTAATCCCAACTACTCAGGAGGCTAAGGCAGGGGAATCGCTTGAACCCGGGAGGCAGAGGTTGCAGTGAGCCGAGTTTGCACCACTGCGCTACAGCCTGGCGACAGAGTGAGATTCTGTCTCAAAAAATAAAATAAAATAAGTTACACTCACAAAGTACCTAGCATGTGGCAGACACTGTACTAGGTACTTAAATATTATTTTAAAATATACAATTACATATAAGTACCTATTGTAATTCTAAAAATTCAACTCATTCAAGTTCCCACGCTAAGTAAATTATAATTTGAACTCAGTGCTCTCTGAATCCAAAGCTCATGCTTTTTCTGTTACATTAATTTTCAACCTTTCTGGGTCATTGGCCTCTTTGAGAGTTTGATAGAAGCCATGGGTAGAAAATGCATGTTACCATAAAAATGCAGATGTGCGCATAGATGTAAAACTTGCATAGGATTTCAGGGTGTCCACAGACCTCCCGGGGCCTCAGTTTATTAATCTTGTATTGCACATACCACGATGCCAAGGAAGGCTGACCACATTGTCCAAGTGTTCTCACAGGTCTTGCGGCCAGATCCGTGTGGAGATGTGTTTTCTTTAATGCAATCATTAAGTTCCCAAGTCTACCAAACTTACTTCTTGAAAGAAAGCCTTTTTCACTTGATTAAAAAGAACCCTGTTTTCATTCCTTGCATTCAATAGAAGACCTTTTAGGCAGGCTTATGCTGTCCACAGAGTAACTCTGCATGATTTTCCTCAAAGAGAATACCATATGTTTGGACTGGGGTTCACTAGACTCTTAATCTTGTCCAGACAGACACACCACCCAATTTAGGATCTTCCTTTCTGCCTCCCATCAGCTCTCCCTTGATTCCTTTATTTTACATGCTCCTCTGCAACCACCCTCTGCCTCTCTTTGTGTCTAAAACACAAACTGTGTCTAAAATCTAGGTAAGTGCTGCTCTTTAATAAAGCATTGGATTTAAAATGCAATTTTCTTATGTGAAACCAAAATACATTAAAAATTGTGTTACGCCGGGGTCAGAGGCTCATGCTTGCAATCCCAGCGCTTTGAGAGGCCGAGGTGGGCAGATCGCCTGAGGTCAGGAATTCGAGACCAGCCTGGCCAACATAGTCAAACTTCTGTAATTCCAGCTACTGGGGAGGCTGAAGCAGGGAAGATTCCTTGAACCCGGGAGGCGGAGGTTGCTGTGAGCCAAGATCATGCCACTGCACTCCAGCCTGGAGAACAAGAGCGAGACTCCGTCTCAAAAAAAAAAAAATTGTGTTACAATTAAAATGCAGCACAGAACTTAGAAATAATATATAGTTTTCTTCCAGATGCCAATGACGCCAAAATGTATTTTAAAAATTTCTATTTGAAAGCTTACGATATAAGAATCTAGGTAAATGATTTATACTTGTTGGTATGCATACCATTGTTAAACAAACGAAAACAATCAGGCCATTATAGAATGCTCAAGAAATCACAAATATACACAAATTAGAAAACAAAAATAATCTTAATCCCAGCACCCTGAGATAGTCCTTGTAACTTTTGTGAATAGGATATTCGCTGATCTTTTCGCTGTGTGTGCCCGTGTGCACGCACACACAATTGAAATGATTTTAAGACGGTGGGCACTTGCCTACATTCTCAAAACAAACCCTGTTTTCATATTTATTGACTTTTTCTTTAAGATACAGATAAAACTATAATAATACTAAAAATACTAAATACTACTACTAGTAATAGCTATAGTATTAGATTAGATACTTTAAGATGCCCGTAAAAATAATGGTATTAGAGCTGGACAGTAAGGCTTTTTCTTTAATTTGAACAATGTACAAGTGATAACTCCTCAATACTGTTTTGACAATGTTTTTCTTGACCCTGGGGGCTTGAAAGAAAAAATAATTTTTATGAGCATCGGGTCACAATGAAAACAAAGAATTCAGGGATAATCTGGAGTTTCACATTGTCATGCTTACAGCTTCACAGCAAACCTTTGGGATTAAACGGTGACATTTCGAGGCTGAGGATCCAGAGCTCCAAAGCCTCCTCCTGTTTTATTTCACTAATGTTTGAAGAATGTTGGTGGTCTCATAAGAGAACCTGAAGACAGGGAGGAAACAGTCAACATGAGGGAATAATCCGGGGAAGGTAAACATGATTGATTTCCTTTCTTCTACCAGAAAGTCTAGCTGCTCAGCCAAGATTAGGTTTTCTTCGTGCAAGACATTTCCTGCGGTACAAAAAGAAAATATTAAAACTCTTCATTAAAAAATTGTATCTTCTATCTATGTATAGTTCTATATGCTTTTTTTTTTTTTTTTTTTTTTTTGAGACAGAGTCTTGCTCT